TGATGTCATGTCTGGAGCAGGAGGCAGGACACAAAACTATTAAATAGTTGTTGTTAGCCGCCCTGAGCCCGGCTTCGGCTGGGGAGGGCGGGATATAAATAAAATTTTAAAAAAAATAATAATAAATAAATACTGGGAATCTCAGAAGCCTCTCTACAAATGCCCCCATCCTTTCCAGGATGAGAGTTGCTGTAAATTTGCCAGAAGCAAATCCATTCCAACCATACCAGTTGCCAGCACATCCTTGCTGGCAATGAATTCAAGGTGTGTTTGGCCTCCAAAGGTATCTTCTTCCACACTGCATTTGGTTTCAGCACACTGAACAGGGACATTCACAAAACATGGTGAGCATTTCATAGCTTTGCATGAGGAAGGGAGGAGTTGGGGAAGGGAGGGAGAAAGAGACAGAGAGCTCCCAATCCTTCTCTATATCCATTCCCATTTCTCATGTTTTTTTGTTTTCATTTGTTTTTGTTGAATGATTCTCTGCTCTTAGTGCCTGGGGCCTTCTGCTTACTGTCTGTTCCAGCCCTCCTCTCCAATAATTAAGCAATCTATGATTGGTGTCTGGGTAAAGGCAGCTTTTTGTCTGAAAGTTTTGGGCTGAAAGAAATGAAATGGAGCCTTTAAACGTCCCAGCATCCTGCTGCTCTATTTCTGCAATGCCTCAACAGATAGCAGCAGGATGCTAAATGCTATGCTTCAGTAGCAGAAGGCTGTACCCTGAGCAATTTGTATGTACCCAATTAGAACCATTCTCCCTGACTACACTAGTCCCTTTTAATAAGGGGTGAGAAGCTCCTTTAATAAAAAAAATTAGCCACAGCACCATACTCCCGCCTCGTCGTCTCTCCACATGCTTTCTTAAATTGGAAAGCAAGCTCTTTAGCTTGGAGGAGAAGCCCCAGAGCAGACATATCTCCTTATGTATACAAGCAAATTTGGTTTGCTTCACTGAAGCACAGCATGGTTACATCCTTTTTTTATATTTTTAATGAACTGGCTGACCTGTACTTTCATGGAAGGGCCAACACTTTAAAAAGCCTTGCCATACCATTCAGACACCAGTGGCTGTGATTTGGATCACCTTTTTGAAGAAGCAAAGCTGATGTCATCTTTACCATTGCTGACAGCACTAAAACTGGCTTCACCATCAGCAACATCATCATTACCAGCACAATATATAGATATATGATAACTCATAGCAGGGCAGAAGTGGGGGACCTTTTTCTAAGCCAAGGGCCATGGCAGACTTCCTGTGGTAGAGAGGGCCAGTGATAAAAGACAGCAGATAAATGGGTCTTACTTTTCCCTCTATACAGTAGACTATATTCTAGCCATGCAAATGTCAGAGGTTTGCACACAGGCATCTATCTAAGCAGGCAAGAGGCATCACTACAGTTCAAGGACACATTGCAAATGAGCAACAGCAATTGAGGGGGACATGGAGCAGGACCAGTGAGGATTGTGACCTGGAGAGAGTCCCAAGGGCAAGATAAAGTCCCTACCTTAGGGACCACTTTCTTTCATACCAGTCTGTCTGCAGCCTAAGATCTGTGTGGAATTGATGAGCCTATTTGAAATACTCCAGCATGCTATGGTTGCTCTTTGTTCCATGAAAGCATGGGGACTTTTGCAAGAAGTTTCAGGAGCTACATTCAGGGGAAGGAACTGCACTCCTAAACCACTTAAGCTTTTATTCTGAATGACTTCCCTGCAGCTTTTAAAAAATGCATTTGAACATCCCAAGCTTTTGCATATGGAAACATTTCAAAAAAGAAATGGTGTCTTATTTCCCCAGGGATTCTGGAGCCAAATTTGTAAATCTGGCGTTACGCTCAACATTCTCTAGCCTTATATCTTCCTCCCACATTCTTTATTAGACTGTAATTTTGAGCGCTGTTGTTTGCTGTGGGATCTCCGAAGTTGAAATCCCAAAGGCACTTACAAATATTCGGAGCTGCAGTCAGAGAAAATTTCACCTTGTGGGGGTGAATGCTAACATAGACGTGCCACTTCTTTCTTCCCCTTCCTCTCCCCACGCCCAAATCTCTCTCTCTCTCTCTCTCTCTCTCTGAAACATAAACAGAATTATTAAGTTTAATCAAAAATGCACCATCTCACTTTCCTACTGGCGAGTTCTTGATTAGCAGACTGTAACTATATCAGCAGCAATTTCATTTAGAGCTGAAATCAAAGCCAGTCTACTCAGACTCTGTTGGTCCACAGCTGACCTCAGGTTATTTTATTCTTTTAATTTGATGAGTTCCAGCTTTGAAAAAAATGCTCTCAACAGGACTGGCACTCAAAAACTCTGTGTGTTGTTGTCCATATGCAACGAGCTTGTCAGTAAACAGCTTGTCACACCAAGTGCAGAAGCAGCAAGACCTACATTACCTTAATATTAACAACAGTGTTCTTTAGAGGCATCTGCAGTGGGACACCCAAGGCGGCGAACATCTGTACTCTCAAGGGCCAATCTGTTCTCCAGACAATGGCCACTGTCAGTATTCTGTGGAAAATGCTGAAAATGTAGGTTTGTGCAACTGAAGTAGATTAAAGCACTCTGGTGAAACAGATCTACTTTATAAAAAAATACTTTTGTGATTAGGAAAGTGGTGGGTTAACAGATTTAAAAAAATGTGGGATAAATGACTGGTTGATGAGGATACCTATAAACACCATACAGGCAAATCAGGATGAATGTCTCAGGTTGAGGACAGCTGAGAGGGGTGGCAGATCTGGGGGGCAGCAGCATGTTGTTGTTGTTTAGTCGTTTAGTCGTGTCCGGACTCTTCGTGACCCCATGGACCTGAGCACGCCAGGCACCCCTGTCTTCCACTGCCTCCCTCAGCTTGGTCAGACTCATGTTTGTCGCTTCGAGAACACTGTCCAACCATCTCGTCCTCTGTCGTCCCCTTCTCCTTGTGCCCTCCATCTTTCCCAACATCAGGGTCTTTTCCAGGGAGTCTTCTCTTCTCATGAGGTGGCCAAAGTATTGGAGCCTCAGCTTCACGATCTGTCCTTCCAGTGAGCACTCAGGCCTGATTTCCTTAAGAAACACCATACAGGCAAATCAGAATGAATGTCTCAGGTTGAGGACAGCTGAGAGGGGTGGCAGATCTGGGGGGCAGCAGCATACTAGTCACCATCTCCTTCACTTGTCCCCCACCACCTCCAGCATGTCCTGGCCTTCCTGGGCTGCCTCCAGTCACCTCAGGTAGCAGTGGTGGGGGCAGAGGAGCAGGCAAGTGTGCTATTTTCTGCTTTGCCTCAAGTGGCAAAACATTCTTGACCCCTATAGTTTCTAGCCCATATAGTTTTTTCTTAAAAACTGAACAGAACTTTCTTCTGAAACAACTTGTTTCAACAAGATTGAAACTTACAGGACTCCTATCTTTAATGCACATCTAAGGAAATGTTTGCTTATCTCTGATCACTGCCCTCATAGTGTCCGCGAGACTTAGTGTAACTGGCACTTGCTCCTTGAGGCAACTTCAAGAGATGCATTTAATGAGCTGTATTTTGATACGCTACTTAAAGGTCCAAGGGTTTGAGATGGAACTTTCTGGTACATAAGCTTCATTCATTCAATCAATCTGACCCTTCCTTCTGAGATGAGCCTGTGATGACAGTATTCATTACGATGGATGCTTATATTTCTGCCTAACTTGCAGCCACACTGAAAACTAAGCTTGTAAGATTGTCGTCTCAGAATATATTCCCTTCAGCATTACCCCCACCAACCATGTGCATCCTGCTACTTGCTGTAACGCTACAGCTATAAGATTGTGTTGTTTAATAATAAGGTGGCTGAGGCTAAACATAATAGGTGATAAAAGTGTGCCTAATATGTGGTTGAGACTGTGACTGACCACCTACATGTGAGCAACTGCTCATTATTAGATGCCACTTTGCAGGCATCTATACTCAGTGCCCACTTGTTAGGGGCAGGGTTGGTGGAAAGGGCAATATGGGCAGGAACTGTAGACTTGGTCCTAATCAAGCCTTCACATATAGCACTTGCAAACAAGGCTTTATATCTCAGCCTAGCCATCCTCAGTAGCCTGTTGTGATTTGTTGTGACACATGAATTACTTGGAAAGGAGTGTGATGCGTATGTGTTTGATCTTTCAAAAAAAAACAGCCAATGAGATGTGCTTGGTAGAATTGTGTAATAGCCACAAGACTTGGCTTGATTTGATCATGTGTAAATCAGCCTGGTTTTGCTTGGGAGCAGCTTTTCAAGTGTGTAATAAACATCTCTAAGCTTAAGGAGACTCAGGCCCCTGCATCAATTCAGAGGCTGACTAGTTCACTTCGGGGATCTGAGTCTTCTTTGTCCCCCACCCCTCCACTATTGAAAAAAAAAATATCCTTTTGACAGAAGGGGTTAAAATTTGTAGGCACAGTAGCCCCTCCAGGTTGGGTAAAGTTTGCCAAATTATAGGCAGATAGATCCTGGGTCTTTTTGTGCTGGACAACTGTAAGATGGGGGGACGGGTCCTATCTATACTTTTTATTTTGGGCCATAATTGGATAAATCCCACTCCTCTCAAAAAGGAAACCAACCATACTCTTTTTTCCCCTTAATCAGAATTTAGTGGTTTGTTGCTTTTCTAGAGAAGGGTGCCCCCCTAGCAGGAGCGGAGGAAGGGGGGTGCAGTGGGCGCGGGCCACCCTGGGTGTCACCACTGATGAGGTTGACAAAATGTCTGAGCCATGTGTCTCTCCTGGCAGAGATGCGGTGGCTTGGGCGCACACAGGCTCTGTGCTGCCCAAATGGTCCACCCGCTGCCTCCACCTCAGCTGTAGCGTGACTGAATGGGAGGAGGCAGGCAAACTCTGAAGGCCCCGTGGTGTGCCCTGCCCCATGGGTGGCTTGCGCCACCCCAGACACCCGAGTGGCTTCCTCCGCCGCTGCCCCCTAGATCAACTTCAAACACATCCCTGTCTTATAAAGATAATCCCCTAAAATACCTATTCCTCTGTTTGTACAGATGAAAAGAAAGGGAAACGAAGGATCAGGACAACATTCACAGCAGAGCAGCTTCAAGAGCTAGAGAGGATCTTCCACATTACACACTACCCAGATGTTAACATCCGCAACCAGCTAGCAGCAAAGATCAATCTTCCAGAAGCCAGGATCCAGGTAAATTATTTGTCCCTCTGATGTAGGGTCAGTCCAATACATTTTGCTGCCTGAAGGAAACTAAAGTGTGTGGCTGTAAATATGCTCAGGAAATGGGTGGGATAGAATCCTCCCATTCTTTACAATCCACATGCCTGCATGTATAGGAACGGGCAATCTGTTTTAATTAGGTTGGTTCGCAGAGCCTCTTAATCAGTGTTTCCCAACCTTTGGTCTCGGGCAGCTTTTGGACCACAGTTCCCATCATCCCTGACAACTGGTCTTCCTAGCTAGAGGTGATGGAATTGTAGTCCAGAAACAGCTATAAACCCAAGGTTGGGAAACACTGCTCTAAATTAGTGGTTCCCACCACCCCCTTGGTTCCATCAATTCACTCCCAGTGCCCCCTATAAAAAGCATTATTCAGAAAATTGGTTTGCATGGCCCACTAAGGAAGGTAATAACACCATAAAATTCACAACAGTAACTATTCATTGCATATTTATTCAAAATCCAATCAAAACTATTTAAGTAATTCAACAAAATGGATGGGCCAATGATACTAGCTTTTCAAAGTTTGAAAATCAATTGACACCTCCAGCAGCATCAAACCCCCCCCCCCCCGTTGCCTCTTAGTGCCCCCCGAGATAATCCTAGCACCCTCCAGTGGGTGGGACTGCTCACTTTGAGAAACGCTAGGTTGTTATATTTCAATGACTATAACCTGCTCACCATAAACATTTGTGTTGTGATTCTTCTTTTTAGTGGCAAAGCCCTGTTCTCATCACCATGTGAGTTTTATTGAGAAATAACTTTTAAAAATGATCTCCCAGTAAGCAATCTTCAGTGCCCTGCATTTGTAGCTGCATTCATTATATTTGAGCTTGTATTCAGTTGCAAAGCCATGTGCTTGATAAAAGGTAATGTTCTGACCAGAGTAGCCCCAGCGTGTCCCACTTTCAGGTAGAGATAAACAAACCCACCTTGGCACACTATCAGAATGGCTCGTAAAAATCAGCAAACAGTTCATTGCTTACTCCAAACCCAATTTTCCCGAGGCAGTTCTTCAAAGCAGCCCCCCAGCAAAGCAAGAGCGAAACTTGTTTTTGAATTTAAATTCTTAGATTAGATGAGAAGACACATCTCTCCGTCTTGTTTAAATGATCATATCTAAGAGCCATTTCACAGGCAAGGCTTCCCCCCCCCCTACACAAGGGTTTCATAGTGGGGGGGGGATAGAGAGCCTTCAGATATGAATATCATGTGCATATATTGATTGTCAGGAAGTGTACACTTATTCTTAGCTCATTGCCAATCAAAAGAATGAAACCTCAAAAAATGTCATTTGCATCTTGGTCTCAGTGAATCTGCAGGGTTGAATTTCCATAAGATGTCATAGAATCAATGAATTGTAGAGTTGGAAGGGACCTCGAAGATCATCTACCCCAACTACCTACAATGCAGAAATCTCAGCTAGTCAATCAACCAGCTACAAATCCACCTAAATTTGGGTTCCTCACTAGTCCTTCCAGCAGTCTTCACCATTTGTAATTCCACAGGTGTTCAGATTAATTTCTTTTTTTAAAATATTTTGTTTTTTGATTTTTAACAATGTTCTTATACATTTAAATCATTTTCAATTTTCGCACATCTGAGATTACTTGAATCCCTGGACTTCTCCCCCACCCCCCGTTTCCAATATTTATCTGTTCTGTCTATTGCATCTAATTATATTTTTCAGATCCGTTTTGTATCCATTTTTAACTTTAGTCTTATTACATTGTAAGTGTTATAACAATCCTGCTAACGTTTTTAAATATCTACAGTGATCTTTAAGGTACTCTATAAATTATTCCCACTCTTTGCTGTATTTCTTATCATCTTGGTGTCTGATCTTCACAGTCATTTTTGCCATTTCAGCATAGTCCATCATCTTGATTATCCATTCTTCTTTGGTTGGGACTTTCTCTTCCTTCTATTTCTGGGCGAAAAGCATTATTGTGGCTGTCATCGCATACATAAACAGTCTTTTCAAGTCCTTTGGTATTTTATCTTCTATTATTCCCAATAAGAAAGCTTCTGGTTTTTTGACAAAGGTTGTCTTAAGCATTTTTTTTCAATCATTATATATCATTTACCAGAATTCTTTTGCTATTTTGCATGTCCACCACATGTGGTAGAATGTGCCTTCTTTTCCCTTACACTTCCAAAATAAGTTGGAAGTGTTTTTTATACATTTTTGCTAGTCTTATAGGAGTCAAAAACCAACAGTACATCATTTTCATATAGTTTTATTTCAGTGTACAAGCCGTGAATTTTAAATCCTCCTTCCACAACTTTTCCCATGGGTTAAGTTGTATGTTATACCCAATATCTTTTGCCCAGTGTATCATTACTGATTTGATTTCTTCATCCTTAGTATCCCATTCTAACAGCAGTAGATTATACATTTTTTATAATAATTTCTCATTGTTTTCCAATAGATCGTTTTCGAACCTTAAAATCCATCCCCTTGTCATTCCTAAATATATCACTTAGTTAGTGATATTGTAACCAGTCCATTAATATGTATTTTTATCATCATTTTTTTTCAGTTTCAGTTGATTTTCAACTTCAGTTAACAGCTCTTTATAGGTTGCCCATTCCCTTTTCATGTTAAGTTTTCTAAAAGATATCACTTCCAATGGGGAGAGCCACCATGGCGACCAAAGGTGTTCAAATTAAAATCCATTTAGTTCTTATATTTTACCAGAAACAATTCTCAGTTGTGGGTACATTTATTTCTTATAATATATTTTTGGATTATTTCATTTCTTCTCTCTCCCCCACATAGATCTGGTTTCAGAATCAGCGGGCAAAGTGGAGGAAGCATGAAAGATTTGGCAATTTTTGTGGTCTTCAGCATCTAACTGAGGTTGATTTTATCCCAGCTCCAAAGGCAGAGACAGTAGTGAGTATAAATGACCATCTGTAAAGGGAGGACTGACCTTGTTAAACAGAGCCTTTTTGTACGTATAAATTGTACTAATTAAGAACAAATACTGAACCTTGAAAAAGCAGGTAATAAACACCCTGAAATGTTTCTGATTAACAGTTTTGGGTTAGGCACTACTTGTCATAGTTTTGCATAGCCTTTGTGGGTGTTTTTGTAAAAGCACAAATAGACTTAACAGTAATAGCCTTGCACAGAGAGGCATCCAAGAGTCTAGCACATGTTTTAGCTAGCAACACTGAAATACCATAAACTCAGACCTTGTTATCCATTCTGGCCTACAAACCTCAAAAAAATACATTCCTTTCTTCACCCTCCAACCCCATCTCTATGGAGCTCAGAGTTTAATGTCTACAGACCATGGCTAATACAAACCAGAAACTGAAACAATAGTCTGAGCTGTGTTTGCAAACCATGGTTTTGATTACTTCAAAACTTCATCTCTACACAGCTGCTTTTTCTATTCTAATCCCAACAAGTTCTAAACCCTGGATTTGCATGTTCTGCAAAGGCTGGAACTGTCTGAGAGTGCAATTCTATTATTGTCTGCTCAGAAGTAAGTCCCACTGAGCCCCTGTACAGGGCTGCAGCCTGAAAGAGTTATTTGGTTGGCAAACAATATTTCTGTCCCGTCCTCCGCCCACACAAACCCTTGCAATCACCAGAACAAAATGATTTCTTTTCTCCCTTACTGATTGCCTGTCACTATATTTTAAGGACTCCATTTAGAGGTACTCTCTGAAACTTTGTTGCTTTTTTATTGCTAAACACTGAAGGGAATTGATAAGGCAAGTCGTGTGTTGCTCATAAATTGCACCCGGCTAAAAGCCTGCATTAGTGTGCCTAAGATTCTCTTTCTCTCTGTCTTATGACAGGGTCCCTGCCGAGTGCCATGCAGCCGTTGTGACATAGGCCCCCACCCATGGCAGTACTCCTCGATCCAAGAGCATTCTTCATCTTCTTGGTTACCAGACATGACGCCCTGTGCCCTGCTGCGCACAGATCCAATGATGTTCTCAAAGCCTTATCTACTCTTTGACTACCTCCCTCAGTACAGCCTCCCACCTCTGTCCTTGAAACCAGCATGGAGGCATATTGGTGGCAATTTCACATAGAAGAGGATTAGGAAGGAAGAGCTACTATGCTTTGTAGCATCATCATTGAACTAGCCTGTTGCGGTGGACTTACACCAGGGAAACCTGCTGGATTCAGATCCCCAAGTGGCCACAAAAGTGGCTAGATGGTCTTGAATTGATTGCTAGAAGAACATAGGTAGTTGCTTTTTACAGACTCAAAGGTCCACCTAGCTTAGTATTACACTGACAGGCAGTGGCTCTCCTGGGTTTCAAAGAGAAGTCCCTCTCAGACCTGCCAGGAGATACTAGAAACTGAACATGGGACCTTCTGCATCATAGGAGCCAACTCCTAGGGGCTAAGGCCTCTTCGCCCCTCCCATAAAATATTCGAGGGGACCAGGGTCCCCAAAGTTGATGGCCTTTAGCATTCAAATGGTGTGTGTGTGCCACATCTTGTGATCAATTAGGTGGGGCTTACCTGGGCCAGTCCAATCTTTTATTCAAGTTGGCACCCTTGTTCTGCATGCAAGAAAAATGGTCCACTGCTGAGTTGCAACCCTTCCCCATCTCTCAGCCTTGCCTACTTCACACCGGTGAGGATGAAAGAAGGAGAAACCATATGCGTCACCTGGAGCTCCACAGAAGAAAGAAGAGATGCAAATGTAATACCGATAATTGCTGGAGGAGAATTCAGCTTAATACAAAGCTAAAATGCTTCTCGTTGAACTTGAAGAATGAATGCTGCTTGACCTAAATGAGAAGCAATTATAGAAGAAAGCCAACACTTCCTCCATTGAAGGACTCTGCTTGAAAAAAATATCACTTTCTAGGTGTGGGGTTAATATACCAAATGGATATTGCATTGCAATGTCTGTTGGAGAGAGTTGAGGCTTTACACAGCCCTAAAACTGATGGATAACACTGTTGCAAAAGTGGCCTGGGATGATAAGATTTTATTGGTCAGTGCTGGAGGTGTGGAATCACCTTCCCTCTTCAGGAAAAGCGCTATTATTCCGTTGATCAAACTGGACAATCTAAAGCAGTGTTTCTCAAACTTGGGTCCCCAGATGTTGTTGGACTACAACTCCAATCTGGCCTTGCTAGCTAGGGATGATGGGAGTTGTAGTTCAACAACATCTGGGAACCCATGGTTGAGAAAGGCTGATCTAAAGGATAAGGCTGTTGGATTCTTTGCCTTGCACACTTTGTGTTAGTTGTGCTTGGTGGGGTAAAACGTACGTTCAAGAGAAGGGATAAAAACACCAAGGTAGCTTTTGAATAACCTTATTTCTGTGAAGTGAGGAATGAGGGTGTTTGCTTTATTGTATTTTGAACCTGAAATAATGGCTTATAGATTAATAGTTGGAGGGGGAGAGAGATTAATAGATGGAGGGTGAGACAGAATTATATTGGATGAAATACTGGATGTCTTGCCCTGTTGCATTAAGGAGTGTCTTTAAATGATTAAAATCTTTATACAAGGAAATGGCTTTTTGTGTTGTTGGGGTTTCTCCAGTGCTGAGGATCAGTGAACCACCAAAGAACAAAACCAGAAGGAGCCATGTTGGAGGCAGAGCGATTTTGAATTCTCCTAGAATTCCTGTGTGCTTTTACAGGAAAATAGAAAGCTGCCCCATGTCAATCAGGCCAGGTACACAAAAGTGAGGTTCCCCAGGTGGCACAAATATCACAGGCTAATAGCATAAGAAGCACTCGATGTAATTGACAGAAATGGGAATACGTTTTCAGGGCCCTGAAGCTTGAAGTGATATGTGTGCCCCTTTACAACCAGAAATGAGGTTTGGGTAACCACTGTTATCTTCTTCAATAGGGCTGTTCAGCAACGGATCACCATAATTTTAAAAATAATAATAACTAACTACTCATATTAACTACCTCTCAGATTTTGATTAAAATTGCTGTACTTTATTATCTCATATTACATGAAGCACATTTTACAAAATACTCTTTCTGATTTTTGTAGCAAAATATTCATGAGAACATGGATTTGGGACTATGTCTAGCAACATAATAATGTCTGACACACACAAAGAGCTTCCAGTCTCTTAAAAGCACTCAGATTCTGCAACAGGGATAAATGAAATGAGGGTGGTTAAAGAAATCTATGCAGATTGTCCAGATTTCAGTCATGCATTCTGAATGCAAAATGTGAGGATTTTGGTTGCAGAATTTGAGATGGTTCAGAATTGTGTGTCCCCAGCCTGCAGGATAGTCTCCAAAGACTGAGAGGCCTCTTGATGCCTTCCCAGATGTAAAGTGCAGGAAGAGACTTTCCTCATATTTCAGTCCATCTCTTCAATAGTTTTGTGTGTGTGTGTGTGTGTGTGTGTGTGTGTGCGCGCGCACACACACACACACACACACACACACACACTTTTTTCCTGAGAGGGGGAAATAGTGGAGCAACCTGCAGGCTCTTTTCATTTAAATGATCAAATATGAGTCCAGTGTTGAATCTTCAGGGGATTTCAGATTAAACACTTTAAAGGGAAACTCAAATAGATTTTTTATCAGCTCTAATAACATTCCCACCTCTGAAAAGTTGCAAAGAATTTATCGCTCTGGTTCTTGTTTTCATAAAAATTTCAAGGAGAAAATGTTCCCTGCCCCCATGGAATAGCAACAATGGCAGTGAAATGCTGGCTAGAAGCCCTGGGTATGGTCCTCGGGAATGCTAATTTAAGTGGGTTTGTGTTGCGGTCTTTCCAGCTACCCCAGTGATCTATTAAAAGAATCAAAGCCTGTTGATTAGACGGGGCCCTTCTGCTTGGGATCTTCGGTGACTGCGCCTCATCTCTGTTTTGCCAAGCCTTCTATCATCTCATTTCTCATCATTGTTTCCAGTGCCTCTGCCATGTCATCAGTGTCAAGTTTATTCAATCATTAAATGTAGGCACTGCTACTCGCAGCCTCCTAAGCCTAAAGCTTTATCATTCTTCAAAGGTCTTAAAAACTTTCAGTAGCTGAAATGGCCTGGCTATTTTTAATGGCTCCCACTACAATAAGAAAAGGCAATTTAACAACCCTACACCTGCCCCCTTATCGGTCTCTTTCGCTCCAGGAAACATTTTTTTCCATCTTTTGAGTGTTCCTTTATTTATGTCTGGTGCAGAAAACATTGTTTGGGACTTTCAACAATTGCTTCCTTGTTGGCTGTTGATTGTCCACTCTGGTCCAACAACGGCTTTGATGACCTCTCACCCAAATGTCTCTTGCTGTTTGTATTAACAGGACAACTGTGGCCCATCTGCCAGATTTAAAAAATAAAATAAAAATCTGTGTTTCCTAATCTCCTTTCAAATGGAGAACTATATCCACATCCTATTGATCAGCAAACAGGCTGATCACATGATCTTCAACTATGAGTTCCCAGATGCTATTGGACTACAACTCAAATCATCCCCTTCCAGTTTAGTCAACGGTCCCTTTGCTAATGAAGCACAAGTCTTAGGGAATGGTGGAGACAGCCACATGCAGAGCTTGTCTGAGGCCTGAAGTGGAAGTCTTGTTGGAATAAAGTTTTCACGCAAACAAAGTAGCTAGTCCCTGGAAGGCCCCCCCCCCAAGCTGGCCTAGTCCTCTGAGGCATGGGACAAGAGTACTTTGCTACCTGGGTGGAGATTTGGGGTAGAAGCAACATAGCACCACATAGCATATTAACACAGCCTTACAGCAGTGTGGGGTTGTCTGGTTGCCTTTTACAGGGATCAAACAAGTCTTTTTTGCTCCTCACCATATTGTCTCTCTGTGACTAGACTACACCATAAAGTAAGTTTAAATTCCTTTACTTACACAATGCAAGGTCTCATTCACTGCATCAATCAATGCTACGTCAAAGTTCCTTTCAGGTAAAAGCTTGTTGTTGTTGTTGTTGTTGTTTAGTCGTTTAGTCGTGTCTGACTCTTCGTGACCCCATGGACCAGAGCACGCCAGGCACTCCTGTCTTCCACTGCCTCCCGCAGTTTGGTCAAACTCATGCTGGCTTACTGAGCACAAAACACAGAATAGTATCTTCAAACATGGAGTCTGGGCTTGGAGCGCCAGTCTCACACATCTGATCAGCTGCATGGTTCAAAGAAGAAAGAAAGAGGGAGGGAGGGAGGGAGGGAGGGAGGGAGGGAGGGAGGGAGGGAGAGAGAACAGGAAGAAAAAGCTTTACTTCCTCCCTCTCTGGAGAAGAGGAGACATAACCTGACTGAGCCTACTCTACCAAATTGCATTTCTATGGTCTGAATCTGCCTCTCAGCAAATACAGCTCTATGGTCTTAGCCCCTTCATACCTTAACAAGCACTGTGCTTGCTGATTATGTTTTGACTGCAAATTTCCCACAAAATTCCCCTTAGCCCCCAACCCCCACAAGACCTGACCGTGACCATAAGCAGACTCTCCCCATGGAGGCTGGGGGTACACTGCAATGTTTTTGTTGCAGCTCTCACTTTATCATAATACCTAACCAGTGTGGTCCCCCTTGTTCCAACATGTCCATTTCTGTCATGCCAGCAGAACAACTGCCACTGGAAAATGGGCAGGGAGAGAAATGGTAAAGGCACATAAAAAATAAAAAAACGGATTAGAGCAGCTTAATTAAAAGATAAACACAAACCAGATCAAAGCAATCAATGGCAGTTCAACTCTGATTGAATTTTGTCATCATCACAGGCTGAGCTCTTCCCCCTCCTTCTTCAGGCTGATTGCTCCAGAGGGAGAATTTCCCAGATCAAATTTCACATTTAGCTGAATTAGTTTTGGGCATCTTGTTTTTATTTTGCTTTATTTATTTATTTAAAACAACAACAACTTTGCAGATTAGATAAGAGTCTTCTGTTGCAGCATGGCTCAAACAGAATCATAGAATTGTAGAGTTAGAAGGGACCATGGGGGTCATCTTCTCTAGCTAGGGAAGATGCACTGAATTCACCATGTGGAGTTTGATGTTGCACAACACCATTGTAATGCCCAGAAGGAAGAATCAGGAGCTCAAGTAGCAGCCAGAAGGGTTGATATTAAGTGGTGAAATTATATATTTTTGTTTCCCAAATGGTTTTATTCTGGATTTTTCCACTAAGAGTATTCAAAGTGCTTTACACACAACAGTGAATTAACGGTTTAGCAGCAAGTATTAAAGCCAACAGATTAGGGAGGGGGAAGTTTACAAACTTTGTTTAGTTTAATTCAGGAAGCTCTGGACCTCCAAAGGTTGTTGGACTCCATACCACATCACCTCCAGCCAGAATGGTTGAGGGACAGAGATGACAGGAGTTGCAGTACAATAATATCTGGGGACCCAAGGTTGAGAAAGGCTGCTCTAAAATAGCCATCACTTGATAGCTAAATGAGAATGATGTCATTGTCAGACATCCCAGGGACCAACACTGAAGGTCAACACAGGTTAAAGGACCACTGGAAGACTGCCCCATTGTCTGCCAGGGAGGACATATTGGCCCCTTTCATTAGCCAGAGAAGGACCAGTTGACTAATGAATATCTTCAACTGACATTGCTTAAGTCCCTTCCCCTCCAGTTAGGAAAGATGCACCGAGTTCATTACGAAAGGGGTGTTGTACAAAGCCTCCCATTTCTTACCAGAAAGAAGATCCTACTGCAATTGCCAGTTGTTCCAGCTCCAGGATGGGGGAGAAAGTCACCTACAGTATTTTTTGCTCTATAGGATGCACTTTTTCCCCTCCAAAAATTAAGGGGAAATGTGTGTGCATCCTATAGAGTGAATGCAGGCTCCTTGGCTTCAGCGATAGCAACGCGAAGCCTCCAAAGCACAGAGGGAACGCTCCCTCCGCACTCCGGATGCTTCGTGCTGCTTTCGCTGAAGCCTGGAGAGCCAGAGGGGTCGGTGTGCACTCACCCCTCTCACTCTCCAGGCTTTAGGGATAGCCGCCTGAAGCCTTTGAAGTGCAGCATGAGTTCCCACTGTGCTCCGCAGGCTTCGGGTTCCTTTTGCTGAAGCCGGGAGAGCAAGACTCTCCTGGCTTCAGCAGAGAGGGAGAGCTGTACTTTCTGAAACAACATGCAAAACAAAACACAGCCATCCTTTGATGAAATATGCACTTCACCAATTTTGCAACACACTTCCCCATCAGTGAGCCTGAGGCCACACATGTACCATTAGTGGCACCTTGACATACCAAGAACCAGGCTGTTCTCTTATTACCAGAGGTGGTATGCCCCTGAATATCAGTTGCTAGGAATCGCAGGAGAGGAGAGTGCTGTTGCGCTGAAGTCCTGCTCCCAGGCTTCCCATGGGCATCTGGTTGGCCACTGGGAGAACAGGATGCTGAACTAGATAGACCACTGGTTTGATCCAGCAGGGCTCGTCTTATGCTTTGATGTACCAGTGGCACTAATGGGTACAACTCAAATCAATTTTAACAGTGATGTTTCCATCAACATGACATCTTTACAAGATCAGGAAAAGAAATATGCCAGCATCAGTACTGGGTCCTAGACATTCAAAGTTTGTCGAGTCTCTGTAGCAGAGTTAAAGGAAGATCACCTTGCCAGAAGGCAGACTTCTGCACTTCACTTTTGCAGAGTTAATCCTGTAGAAGCAAGTCCAGCTGAGACTAATCCAGGTAAGGTACAACACGTGCTATGTGCTTGCTTGACCCAGAACAGAAGCCAAAGTGTTTGCCTG